CAAAACTATTCAGTCTGGATAACAAGACAATGTGCTTCCTACCTGTACCCACTGTGTGGGTAAAGCCTGGGCTGGACACCCCTGTTTAGGCTCTGAGACAGGGCTGTGCCACTGCAGAGGGGCCATCTGCCTGCACACAGTGGGACCGGCCTGTGCACCTTGGTCAGCTTTTGCTTAGGATACCCACTCATCCATTCCAATGAATATTCACATATTGCCCAAATACCTTAAAGTGCAACATTATTAGCAAATGTCACGTGCTCTGCAGGGATTGGGGATGTGATTAAGGGAAAACTGCTTTCTTCATTTATCAACTCCTCTAAAACTGCCTTTTTGTTAGGGAGAACTAAATCTGGAGTAAAGACAAACAAACCTGGCCAGATTCAGCTTCTGGCTATCTACTTGTTCTGTAGCTGAAATAATCCCAAATAATCTGGAAAGGAGTGTTGAGGGGGTGGTACAAGTGTCTTGTGAGGAGCCACGAGAACCAGCAGGGAAGAGTTGCAAAAGCTCTTGACAGTACTGAGTGTGTGGGCAGTGTGTGTCAGATGAAATGCTCCTGCTAACTGCAGCATTGTGCTAGGGCAATAGTGAAACTCCAGTTCTGGTTCCAGGTAGTATGACAGGCTCTGAAATAGCTTTTACCACTCAGAAAAGCAATGCTGGAACCAGAATAGTTTTATGCTAAGATTGGTTTCAAAATTTAAGAGTAGAAACGAATTAAAGAGCAAAGAAACAACATTATGTCTGTAAGTAAAACAGATACCTCTTTCTTGAGTACTCTGCAGCTCTAGTGCCTTGCTGTCCTGGACTCTCCATTTCAAGGGCTGTAGTAGAACTAGAAGAGGTGCAGAAGAAGGCAGATAGGATGATTACTCGTGTGGAATGGCTTCCATACCAGAATGGTGAAATAATTTGGACTCTTAACTGTGGAAAGCAGAAAGATGAGTAGCTTATGACAGAGATTATGTAGTCGTGAGTGCACAAGAATGAATATGGGTCTATTGTGTAGGGTTTCTCAATAAGGAGGACATAAAATTAGCAGAAGTCATTCTTTCCAGGCAACACCATATTTTTTCACACAGGTCTAATTATTTACATTGCAGTTGAACAAATTCATAGGAAAAGTCCATGAACTACAAAGATAATCTCCTTGGGGCAGGAAGGCCTGCCCAGGTTGCCAGGAGGGTCGTGGGGGGGGTGGGAATTACTGTTTTGTTCTTGTCCTTTTGCCAGTCCTTTCTGGTGCTAACTGCTAGCAGAGTCAGAGAAGAGCTACACAGATTTATTTCCTCTTCTCTTGTTTTCCTTACTTTTCAATACACTTGCAATGTGGATTGGTGTCCTGCACTAGACAAACTTAACCATTCACTATAACCTTTGCCACTGAATGGCAAACGGCCTATTCTTACTGCTTTACTCTTTGCTAAGGCCCACCAGTGTGCCCCAATTTAGGGCTGATTGCCAAGGGGCACTGCCATTCCCTGCTGGGGCTCCTGGCTGTCCTACCTGACCTCCAGGAAACACTGGATTCCTTCACACAGCTCCGAGTACCAGTGAGTATCAGAGCTGGTCTCCAGCAGAAGCCACCTGCTGTGGTGCTGCCAAGGGTGGTGGTGCCCCATCATGGGTAAGGGTGGAGAACAGGCCACAAACAACCCTGAGCCGTTTGCCTGGGGGCTTTGGTGTGACCAGGTTTGCTTGGAACGAGCTGCTCTCACACTTACCTGTCCTCCAGATCTTTGTTGACAACTTTGTCCACGCCGACCTGCACCCCGGGAACATCCTGGTTCAAGGCACGGCCCAGCCGGAGCAGGCGGGTCTGTGTGAGTCCCTGGCCCTGGAAGCGCGGCCACCCCCGCGGCAGCTGCGCCTGGTGCTGCTGGATGCAGGGATCGTGGCAGAGCTGCAGAGCGCCGACATGCAGAACTTCCGCGCCGTGTTCACAGCTGTGGTCCAGGGGCAGGTGAGGCCCCTCTCTGGCATGGGGCTGGCAAGCTGAGGCTGGGGAAGGGAGATGGCTGTGGATGGCCAAAGGGAGAGTTTCCAGTTTCCCCTTAAAATGGTAAGAGGGACAAGAAGCCTTGCTAGCATCTTATCCCCAAACACAGGGAGAAGCTGCTCAGCTGCAGCAAGGAGGCTGCCAGAGTGCAGCAATTTCAGGGCCCCAGGAACTAGAAGGGGCTAAATGGGAAGCACTGGCTGCCCCTTCCTGGTTAGGAGTGCTTCTGCTATTAATGCTATTTCTGACTTAACTAACTTAAATTAAATTCTGACTGCCAAGTTAGAATCTGTAAGGTTTTGCTAGAGAAGAAGAGAGAATGGGTTTACATCTGCCACACATGTTCCCCTCCCCAGCCTTGCTGCTGGAAGGCCTATATGCTTTCCTCCTTGTTGCTGTTGTCAGCATCTATAGAGGAGAGGAAGGAAACCAGGTGTGTGTGTGGAGGGGTCTGACCTCTGCTAGGCTCCTCCATATCAGGGCAACTACATTATCCTCCTCCCTCCTTGAAACTCACTGTTAGATGGACTAGAGAACCCAGTGCTGGTGTCTCCTGTTCATTCTGAGAACAAGCATTGTGCTCCTAGTTGCCTGTTGCTGTCTCTCAGAGCTGCAGGGTGAAGGGCTCACTGACATACCTCAAAGAGGGACACGTTTTGTCTTGGTCTGCCAAAGCATGCTAAAGAATCCATGCTAAACCCTGTATCCAGGCCTATTCTGTGCTGCCAGGGGCACTTCTCAGCAACCAAAAGCAGTAACTGCAAGCATCTGATTGCAAGTCCCCGGTGATCAGGTTCTAATTGTGCTGTTGAACTTGTTTCTCAGGGGGAGAGGGTGGCAGAGCTGATCCTCCACCACGCCCGTGCCAATCAGTGCCAGGACATCGAGCGCTTCAAGGCTGAGATGGCAGAACTTGTGACCAAGGTCCGGGGCAACACCATTGCCTTGGGAAAGGCAAGTGCACCATGTCACTGTCTCACTTCCCTGCAATTCAGCGCAACTTGGCACTGAAAACTGCAACAAAAAGGTTTTTTGATCAGCTGTTAAATTCTCCTTGTGTATTCCAGCTTCAGGTGGGAAATCTCCTCTCAAGTGTCTTCAAACTATTGATGACCCATAAGGTGAGGTCCTGTCCCTGTCTGCCTTTAATAGCTGGAAGTTCATCTGGAGAGGGAGAACTGCTGGGAACATGAAGGGCTAACAAGGATGGGGACTGACTTCTGAAACAAACTGCTAGGAGAGGAACCGCAGGAATGCATCCAATTGTTGCAGGCATGCTGTTTCTCAGGTCTTATACACACTCTGCCATTTAATGGCTGATATTGTTTACTAAAAGAGTATTTTTGTAACACATAGTTTTTCCTGCCTTTTTTATAGTCCCTTAGACTATAGATACCTCCTTATAACTGATTATTTGGGGGACAGTTTCCACAGTTGCAAACAACTTTGGAAATCAAAAGACATATGGTGGTTTGAACTAGGGGTGGTTTGAACCAGGGCTGTCAGCCACAGGGCTGCACAGTCCAACTGGTGGAGCTGCCTTGTAGTTTCAGGTGTGCAAATGCTCTCCCCAGCTTCTTCCCTTCCCACTCACCTTAGGCAGAGCTAGTACTTTGGTTTAAGGTGTACAGAAGAAAATAATGTCCACTGAACCATTCAGTCTGTTGTGGTTCTAGGTGAAGCTCGAGAGCAATTTTGCTTCCATCATCTTTGCCATCATGGTCCTGGAAGGATTGGGACGTTCACTGGACCCTGAACTGGACATCCTGGAGGCAGCTAAGCCACTGCTCATCAAAACTGCAGCTTCTGCCCTCAAATAGACTCCAGTGGCTGCTGCCCTCCCCCTGTGGGGGTTACCTGTGCTGCCTGTGAGCTGACACAGAGCGAAGCTGAAGGTGAGAAGTGTGCCCCAGGGATGCGGTGCGTAGTGGCTGCTCTTTGCTAACGCTGCCTTCAGTCATTTCAGCCAAGGCATGGGAAGATCAGAAGGTCTGTCCCAGAAAGCAGGAAGAATTTGCACAATTGGACATTTCCCCCTCATTGCACAGTTCTAAGAGCTGATGTGCTCTGGTAGTTTTTAAAAACCTCTTCAAAAATATGTTTATTGATCAAGTCTGTTTTAAAATACATCAGGTTAAATATTTAATTTACTGATTTACCTGTCACTGTGGTATGAGAAATGATGTTCTAGCATCACCTAAGCAACACATTCAGGCTGAAAAAAGCCAGTAAAACTGTTTGTCTTTTGTACTTTTAACTTCTACTTTTATTGTAGAAGTATCCTAACATCCTGCATGAAGCACTCTGTTCTTTGTCATTTTGGATGACAAAAGCAGACTATTTCAACTTTTTTTTCAGACTCCTGTACTCTAGTACATTATAGTAGGAGTTTGGATTATAAACAGCATAATAAAATATTTACCTAGGCAGAAAACCTAATTCCATAATAAAAAGCAACTTCTGGGAATATTTGTCCTGGTCTTAATTTTTCTGTTTCTGAAACTTTAAGAGGTTTTTTTTTTCTGCTCTGTATGATTTTCTCTACTACCCTCCCTGGTGCTCCCCTGGTTTCACTCTACTCAAAACCTTAACTGATATGCAGATACTTAAGGTTTTTTTCCCAGCAGGTTTCAAACCAGAGTCCAAGCATTTTCCTGATGGATCAAAACCACATTGTGAATGCTTAAAATTAAATAAAGCCAGGAGAAGAGCTGGATTACACGTGGCATTTACAGTCAGTTACTTTAATAGCAGTATTAAAATGTTTTTATGGCTGCATTTTAATAGTGAGAAATACAGTCCATGAATGATTGGAAATAGTGTGGTACTGAATATATTCCCAGATGTACCCTGTGTGAAATAGCAGTAGAGCAGGGTCTCTGCAGTGGTCTGTTCTCAGGTGGTTAAGCAATGAAGAGAAAGCACATAAGCAGACAATCTGCTGTTTTATGGTGTTTATAAAGTAATGATTAATAGCACATAAATGAAGTCTGAAAAATAAGTTTAAATTCAGCTCAGTACATTTCATGTACTTCCCTTTAATCACTGCATATTCCATTTCCAAGTACAAAAGGATAAAAGCAGGAGTAGAGTTTTACACCTTGTAAGTTTTAGGCTTTTTTCTTTAAGTCTAGTTAGAGTCATAAGCAGGCAGAGATTTGTCCTAACTAGCACATGATTTTATGTAAAAGAGAACTCCAACAAGAGGAGAAGCAAGCACCCCCCAAACACTGCCCTAAAGAAAATCTCCATGTGCCAGCAGCATCCGTGTTCCCTGTCAGCAGGGTGTGTGCCAGGCCTGGGGCACAATCATCTATGTTCTTGCTGAGCAAATTCCAGCCAACTTTTCCAGACTCTCAACAGAGTGGAAACTGTTCCAAATGATGGGATTTCACATCTAAAATGTAAAACTGTGCCTCACATGTAGTTTCCATGATATGAAGCAAGTTGTATTTTTTTTCAGACCTTAACTTTGACATTTTGTTTGTGAAAGCCTTCACCTATTTAAGTTCATCTATCCTCTTCCCTCTTTTTTTTTTTTTTTTTTAAGCAAAAATCTGAGGATGGCTCATGCACATTTTGGATCCTAAAGTTTAAAAATACCCATTTTAGCTGTTAAGACCTCAGAGAAGTTTGTAAACATCTGGATGAGAGACTTAACTTTGTCTTTTTAGGAAAAAGCTGAAGGCATAGCCTCTCCATTATCCGTGGAGGAATGCAGTCTGACACTGCTAGGAAACCGCTGGCCATTCAGAAGATTTGGCAGGATTTCAAAGGAGCTCCCTTTAAGTTTTCTTAATTTTACTTTTATTTTTTTTTAAGACACTGCCATTGTAACTGGTGCTGTATTCTAGTAAGAGGCATAAATTTTTATAATGTTCCAGAAAATGTGTATCATGTTTCTAAGTGTACACAGAATGTCAGGCCAAATCTAAATTTTATATCTAGTTTGGTTCTAGGCATTATTTGAAACAAGGTATCACACATTGTATTCATTTTAGCATAATTCTGTGTAAAATAAAGATATTTCACATAGCTCTGACTGTTTCAGCAGATAAATTGTGCCATGTCCATTCTCCTTTCCTAAATACCCATCTGAAATTTCTGGTTACCCAGAGGCGATCAGCACATTCCCTCTGGCACAGTCACAGGGAATTTTGTACCTCGGATGATGTGAGGGAGCACTTCAGGATGTGACAAGCTTAACCTCCTCCTTCTCCTCTTCTTTGGCACTCCACTCACCATAGTGCAATGCACTGGAAAACCCCTCCTTTCTGATGGAGCAAAGGGCCTCTAGATGTGCCCTGCTGCTCCCTCTCGGGGGAGCGGGAGGCCAGTGACCCCAGGAAGAAAGGCAGGAAAAGGACAGAGCAGCGGAAGCGCACTCTGGCTGCAGTGAAAGGGAGATGAAACACGTCTCCAGGAATCCTACTGCCACCTGTCACAACTCTGCTCTGGCACACTGACTCACAGCTGACAAGACACAGCAGGCCTGTGAACTGCTCCAGGCCCTGCTCCTGACCCACTGTGCAGCTTCCTTACGCAAGCAGGGATGCCCGGAGCAGCAGAAGGTTCTGTTCCCTGAGGTACTGCTGGAGAGCACGGAGTTTTTTGCCTTCTTTTTCCATCTTCAGATGAGAACCCTCTCTCCTCTGGAACACTCTCATTTTGGCAGCCTGGTGCTGGTTTTGCTGTTTGTCCTGCCCCTGGGGTTCTTGTTCTAGCGCTTCCTGCCGGGAGTGCATTCTGCTCCGCAGGAACTCCTACATAAAGACATTCAAAACTGTACAGTCAGCCCTCATGCCAAATTTTATCCTCACTTTTCATCTCTGTCCAGCTCTGGGGCCCTCAGCATAAGAAGGAGATGGACCTGCTGGAGTCCAGAGGAGGATCACAAAGATGCTCGGAGGACTGGAGCACCTCTGCTATGAAGCCAGGCTGAGAGAACTGGGGTTGTTCAGCCTGGAGAAGAGAAGGCTCTGGAGAGACCTTAGAGCTCCTTCCAATGCCTAAAGGGGCTACAGGAGCTGGAGAGGGACCTTTTACAAGGGCAGGGAGTGACAGGACAAGGGAGAATGGCTTTAAACTGAAAAAGAGTAGGTTTAGGTTAGGGATTAGGAAGACATTCTTTCCTGTGAGGGTGGAGAGGCACTAGCACAGGTTGCCCAGAGAAGCTGTGCATGCTCCATCCCTGGCAGGTTGGACTGGGGGTTCTGAGCAGCCTGGTCTAGTGGATGGTGTCCCTGCCCATGGCAGGAGGGGTCAGGACTACATGAATACAATCCAAATCATCCTACAGTACTAGGATTCTCACTAGTAGAAGTCAGAAATGGATATAATCTATGGAAATTCATTCCTTGCATGCAGAAAGACTTATTTTATGGCACAGATAAGGAATTTTACTTTCTACCTTTCAACTTTATACACATGCCAAAAAAATGTTACCATCTCTAAATGATATAGTTATATTGGATGTAAAACAGGTGAAATATACAAATACTCCAGATACTGACACTGCTGGAAACATGGCAGAAGAAGAAAATAACTTCTGAAATTGCCCTTACCAGCCTTTCTTTCTCTTTCTCACAGCTCCTTTTGTTGCTTTCTGCCTGCAACTCCTCTCTCTTCAAATGCTGTGTCTTTAAGAACTGAAGCCTCTGCCTTGCCTTCCTCTCCTCCTCTTGAAAGGATTCCTTCCTGCTCCTCTCAGCCCCAGCAGCCTGGAGCAGTGCCATGTGCTGCAAAGCTCTCTCTTTGTGCTCCAGCTGTTTCTCCAGCACTTGCAATGTTCTCTGACGCAATTGTTGCCTGTTTCCAAAACAAAATTTCTCAAATTTCCCATAAAGAAAGAGTAATAAAAAGGAGAGACAGTGCATAAGACACAAAGCAGATATTTTGGCAATCCGTGTTCAGTTAATAGTCCAGGACTCTTTGTTCGGTTATGAGGATTAAGCCTGTGTCCAGAACAGAGGTAGCAAAAGCCCCACATGGGCTGGTGCCTGATGTCAGCACTTCTGGTCTGAGAACAGGACTGAAAGAACTTGCCCTTGGAGATAATGTACCCACTCCCTCACACCTCAAGCACCAATTTTATTACCAGTAAGGAAACACTGTGACCCCTCTGCAGTGTCCAACAAAAAGCACAATGTGGGATGTGCAGGGACTGAAGGAGAGCAGCAGGGAGCAGATGTTACCAACCTTCCAACATTTAGCACAAAAAGCAGTCAGTTCCCAGCATCACCTCTGGCTGTCCCGGCGCAGCTGGCGTCGGGTGTCATCTGCCTCTTGCTGCTGCTCCCTCTTCAGCTGCCTCTGTTCCTCTTGCCACCTTTTGTGCTCAATCTTGGCTCTGCTGAAGTCCAGCTTTTTCCACCTCTGCTGAGATGCACCACTAAGGATTGATTTATTCTAAGAGGAAAAACGCAAGCTGAACCCTTAGTCCCAACAGTATATTTTTCTGATTCAAACTGTAAACACACAAAACCAGAACAGCCCAGTTTTAATGTCACTCCTGGGGCCTAGGAGCTACAAAGGCTCACACATACTGCAGTGTTGATTCCCATCCATTAAAACAGAGGATGATGCTAAAACTGTAGAAAACATTAGGCTTAATCAACAAAGAGGTGCCTGAAAATCCAGTCTTAAGAGTTCTCCATAGGTCAGTAGGCTGTGCTGTCCCAGTGTTGAGCCAATGCCTGAAACTCCCCAGTCTTTGGGTCAGCCTCTGGATTGGATGGAAAACCCAGGTTCTAACAACAAAACATATATATATATATTCCTTACTAGATTTTATTAGCAAGAGAAATACCTGCCCCCCTCTGGCCAAACCCAGAACATTCCTGGAGTTCTCTGCAGGTGTTTCAACTTTTCACCTCTTGCTGTCTGAGGCTTCTACCTATGCCCAAGCAGTCTGTGTTTTCTTCAGTAGTAGCTTCATTTCAATGCTGTGGTGTTGCTGATTTGTGTTTTTAAATGCACTGTGCTGTGTACAGAGATGAAGGAGCACCTCAAGGCCTCTGTTCACAGTCATATGAAGTATTTATTTTTGTACTCCTTGCAGTGCCCTTTATGAAGGAAGTGCAAGTAAACACCACCAAACCTTTAGACAGGTATTGCAGTTTACATTGCTAGAGCTGTTAGGGGCTGGAACAGAGTTCCCCCAAAGTATTTTCCTCTGTCAAATGCATCCTCGTTCCTCCTATTCCAGGTGCAGTTAGCATGCTCCTGCTGTCAGCTGCTCCCCTCCAAACAGAATGTATCCTTCCAGCGCTTTCCTGGGGACAACTCAAATACCACAAGCTGGAAAACATTACAGGACTTCCAAATAATGTTCCTGCCAGTCTTATATAGCATTTTGACTGGTTTCTCTTAACACATTGATCTGTATGGATTCCCAGGGGCTGTAAACAGCTCTGTTCTTCAGTGTATTGCTATTCTTAAAAAAAAAAAGGTACCTTGTGAGTGTTTGTGTTTACTGACACACTCAAGGAGAGATCAAAGAAAGAATCAAAAGTGTTTTACAGGTGGGATGTGAACAAATGATGTTTTCCAACAGGTAAAGTACCAGCTTAAGGATGAGGAGACTTCTAGTTCCACTCCTGCCCTAACATGAACTCTGCTGTGGGCATCAGATGACTGCCTAAACTTTCTCTTTTTTGCTTTCAGTATCTGTAAAAGAGGAGTATTTATTTTGCTATCTAGTACAGCTGGCTGAGAAGCTTATTTAGAAGATATTAGATCTAACATACAAAAACATTTTATCAAAAGTGCTGAGCAAAAATACCACAAGTGCCCTGTCCTGCACAATGTGGGTTCCCAAGTGGAGTCCTTAAGTTTCTAATTACACATGACCATTATTCTACACAGGCATCATTTTTGTTGCTGCAAAAACCTTTGTGAAAGATCAAAGGAGACAACATTCTCACACGACATAAACAAATCTCCTCATCCTAAGAACTAAACCTGGTTTGAACCAAATACTCACCGTGATGCTTTTGTCTTTTAGAAGATTTGGGGGATGTGTGGATCTCCCAGCCAGCAGGTTGGTGGCACTGTGTGGTCTCTGCACACAAAGGGCTGATCTAATGGTCAGGCTGTCTTTCTCCAGCGATTGATTCACTTGGGCAAAGAAGCTCTGGCGCCTGAAGGGAAGCAAAGCACTGCTTCCCAGGGAAGGGCTCCCCTGGGAATGCTGGATTGGAGCTTCTGCCACTCTGGACTCAAAAAGGCCTTTCAAATAAATTAGGGCAAGGACATATGAGAATATAGGAAACTTATAAAAAGAAAACAAATTAAAAGAACAAAATGTCTGCTCATATGGAATATATTCAAGCAAGGATTTTATAACATTTTCCTCTGAGGAAGTGGGACAGTTTTTAGTCTCCACAAAAGAGGCTCCAGCTTTTCAGAAACAAGTTTGTCATTGCATTTAGGCAAGAGTTTTGCCTGGGAAACTGAGTTTTGCCTGGCCCTTCTTACAGCTACTCAGGCTAAAGGATTATTTACATGATATCTCACAGACAGGCATGAGCTGCTCTGAGTAAAAATGATAAATCTTTTGACAGGGCAAAGCCTGATGTCTACATCCTGCTGAGAGACAGGAGACATGAGCATGGGCACAACCCTGCTAACACAGCTTTTGAGTAACTGAGAACATGAGCAGAGTTTTCTCACACCTTTCTGCTAAGGACAGGACAGACCTGAGTGGCAGGTGTTGCATGGAATGATGCTGGAATGCCAGCTGGGAGGAAATCTGCACTCCTGTTTGACTTTTCATTCTCCCTCTTCCAGCAGTGTCACAAAGCAGTAACATAAAGAGAAAGCTTTATGCTTTCAGAATACTCTCTTAGATAGATGCCTGCAATTGTCACAAAGCTGACGAGAGCAACAAATTGATCAAAATCATGATCCAGCCTCTTTTGGCCCTTCAGGGAACAAAATTCTACTCAGTGACATTATAAAGCAGTAATTTTCAGCACAGATAAGAGGATTGTTCTGCAGAACAGTCCTGGTGAAATCTTGTTTCTATACACAGTCACAGTTAATGTTACATATTAATTTTTAAAGTAAGGAAATTTTAATTTATACTGAGTTCTATATATAGGTTAAAAAACCCCAAAAGCTGCTACTGCAGTAGCTGAGCTGCAAAAGCCAAAAAAAATCCCGACTTCCACCTGAAAATTATTTTACCTTGAGAGAAGATGAGTAACTTCTCAAGCCACAGCACCATTAATACCTATATATAAAGATGGCATTATGGTATTTTCTTGGGAAGCACCAAGAATTTTGGTGCCAGATCTTATACATTATGCCATCCTGCACTGATATTATGTGCTAGGTCTTATGTTTGGGTAAAAGAGTTACAGTTCCAATACCATGCTCATGTTCAAAATTAGCTTCAGTTTCAGCATCCTGCTGTCCGCTCTCTGCTTCTTCTTTGTGATCTGTCTCCATTAACCAGCTGTCTGTGTTGACAGCAGCATCAACCACAGCATGAGCCATCTCCCTTTGAGGGCCCTAGAAATAACAAGAAATGCAATCATAATCCAGACCTGATAAGGAAAAAAATAGGTTTATTTAATGAATGTACAGCATTAAGATCTTAAGTTGTAACTGAAGCTTAAGAGAGAATGAAAAAAACCAAATTCTGTGGGAGTTCTTTACTAAAGAAACAACTCATAGGTAATTTCTGATCACTTCCTGAGTTTCCCTGTTTCCAAGTGACTTAAAGTACTTTTGCCTGAAGGGTCCAAACTGGTACAAAAGAGATCAGGGCAGAGGAGCTCTGGCTGAAAGACAGCCCTGCTTCTGGCACGTGCCAGAATTTGGATTCTAATCCTTGCAGAGCAATAGAGGTAAGCGTGGCAGCAGCTGGTGCATGTGAACCTCCTCCTTACTGATCCTCACCCAGTGCCCTGCTCACAAGCATCAAATCAGCTGCTGAGCACTACATAAGTCTCTTGTGGTCCTTGACTGGGAGAGGGAGAGGAGACACCTCTAACAGGGTGAAGAAGTATGTTAAAAGAATCAATCAAGAGACTGCCTTGGTATGGAACAATCCCATCTGTAATCCTGATCCAGTGTCAAGTCTTCTGACACTTTCTCCTTTTTTTGCCTTTACCTCCTTCACACAGAAGCAGAGTGTAGATGGACTGAGCTATGCAACACTTCTCATATTCTGCATCCATGGAAGAGGTTCTAGAAGCCTGCTCTAGCCAGGGACAATGGCATTATAGCTCTTACCCCAGTCAAAGGAAGACAGTGTAGAGTCTCTCCATCCTTTAGCAGGCAGGCGTAAGGACCAGGCCTTAAACCACTACTAATTGCTTACTACCAAGGGTAGTAAACTTGAAGTAACAAAGCAGATATTTATACAAATAACAGGCCATATATTTACAGAAGAGCCAGGGTGAAGGACTTTATACCTTCTCAGTTTCTATAACCTCATGGTCCTCTTCCAAACAACACCTAACATATTTTGGAATGTCTTCCATCTCCAATCTCTTCTCTTCCTTTTTCTCTTCCTCTCTGGAAACACTTTCTGAAGATGCAATCCTCAATTCAGACAGTTCCTGTTCTATTTTCTTGCTGAGGTTTTCTTCAGCCAAGCTTGCCCGTGGGATGAAGGCATTTTCCTGCTGCACTTTGCCCTCTGCAAGCCGTGTGGGATCCCAGGCTCCAAGGCAGCACTGAGGAAGGGAGGTACACCCCCAGCTGCAGTTTGCACAGGGATGTGTGGAACACAGAGCCCCTGGGCAGCAATCCAGGACCAGGTGACCCTGTCTGTGGTGCCCTGAGGCTCTGTATCCTGGTGCCACAAGATATGGGTAATCCAAGCTTGAATCTACCACCATCTGCCTGGCTGCTAAAGGCATCTGCAGCTCCAGGATGATGCGTTCGCTTAGGGGCAGGGGAATCCGCAGAGCTTGGACAGAAGACACCTCCTTAGTCTGCCCATTCCAGAAATTCACAAGCACTCCCCTTTCATTGTGTGCTGTGCATGTTGGGGGGAAGAAGACCCAAACAAGTAATGTATTAGCAGCATGTCAAGCTGTGTGATTTATCTCCTAGAAAGCAGGAGGTAAAAGTATTGACTTGTGTTTCAGACAATTCTGTAACAAATTTCATTATTTTATTCTTACAGGTTTAAAATTTGCTTTTCTTCTGAATTTCCTGTGAGGAGACAGCAAGTATAAAAAAATCTCACTTGTCACAGGTGGGATTTTACCCTGAAATAGCTGGAAAGTAGACTTACAGATAATCAGGTGACCCTAAGGAGGGTCAATAATGTTTTTTGCCTTGTGTTGGGAGGATGCCACCCCCAACCCCTCAGATTTTTAGCAAGTTTTCACCCACAGCAAAGCGCAAAGGCAAATCCCGTGAGCTGCATTAATTCTGACCCTGAAAAAAGGGCTTAGTACCAACAATAAAAACACGAAGATGAGAACCCTAGGAGCAGCAAGTGAATTCTCTGTGCTGGAGCCTGTTCTCTTCCCTACACAGTGACCAGCACCCATGGCAAGCCCAGCACTGCTAAGAAAACCGAAACACCCAGTACCTAAAGGTGCCTTTGTGTTCTCCACAACCCTGAGCACAGTGCCAGGGCCAAAACGTTTGGCTGGAGCCTCCCATGGTGCCAAGACCCTGTCCCCTGGAGCAAGAGGCTGTCGCCGGGCGTCTTCGTAGTGGAGAATGTCATAGACAGGCGTTTCCTGCTGGCCATGCTGGACCTTGCCCTTCAGAGCGTGACTTTGGTCAAACTCAATTAAAAAGCCTTCCCTGGAGCCCTGCAAGAGTTAAACATGTAGTTTGCAAGGCAATTTGCAAGGTCCAATTAACAGCCAAGCTTAAGTGCTAAGAGGGAAGTAGCAGAAACCCCAGGAAGTGGAATGTGATCTGGGAATGCAGCTTTCCTCTCCTACCAGGGTTTCAGTGCACTGTGCCCATACCACTTTAAAAGTTAAATAAAAAGCTGAGGCTTAAAGGGCTGACAGATTTTTTCTTCCTTTCACTTTGGACTTAGATTTTAGTAAGACCACAGTTAGCAGGCTAAGGGAGAACTCTACCAGGAAAACCTCCCACCAGAAAGAGAGCAGCAAAAATAAACTGTGTATGACGCAGCTCACTACAATCAGAAGGATAACAAACAATGCTTCAGCAATCAGAAGGGTAAAAAAGCAGTAAAAAGTCACAATTCTCATAAATTTAAATGCTTTAATTGAAACCTTCGGCAGTGAGTGAGGGCAAGATCTACTGCCAGAATTTCAACCTTCTCTGCAGATCTTTGAGTGCACTTACACAAATAATACTGTAAGCTCCTACTCCAGCTGATGTCACTCGTGCCTATAGCTGTCCCAATCTGTTCTACCCCAATCTCTCCTACCCTACACTGAAGCTTACAGACATCCTCACCCATACTAGCACCAAAATTTATTTAACTAACCTGCAAAGTGCAAAATGAACTGTACTTTAAAAGAAAACCTGCAGGGAGGATTTTCCATCTGGCATCCAAAAGCATCTTGCAATTCCCAGAAACACAGATGGAAAAGAGTGAGGAAAGGTCCCAGCTTGGTAAAGAGGAAGTGGACCCTGGAGACAAACATTTTGGATTACTAGCTGCTGCTTTACTAACCAACTCTGCTGCTAGGCTGGGCAAAATTAGACAATAGGTATAAGAGACCTGTTTTGTCTGTCTCTGAATAAGAACTCATTGTAACTACAAAAACGGATTGATCTCCAGGCTGTTCTTACTTGCAGGGCTCCTCACAGCAAACAGCCAGACAGCACCAGGTAACAGATGAAATGAGAGTGTGGGGAGGCAACAGTGGCTATGAAGTGCACTGTAGCACTGGAGGGCCACCCCACAGCAAGGACTTGTGAGTGATGAGGTATGGGAAGAACAGAGAAAAAACTATACATAGTCTTACAGCCAAGTTCCCAATAAATAGTCACCTTCACCTCCTGGACAATGTGGCCCAGGTAGTAATAGCCATCAGTTTCTCTCCTTGCCAACACACGAGCTCCCCTCAGGACACGGGAAGCCTCTGAGGACAAACCAATGAAATTCCTTTTGGCAGAGAGTATCAAGGGCATGCCAAAGGGACCTGGGCTCCAAGCACAAACAGGACAGCTGTGGAAAACAAAAATACAAGAAGTAATGAAAAGCTTGGCAACAGATACTCTGCAACTTACTGCAGTGCAAACAAACTAAATCAATGTGGAATGAAACCCCCACCCTGCAATAACTGTCTTCATTCCCCAGCTCTTTGTTCTCTGCTTTTCCAGTGACCCACCTACAGATTATGAGCTTACTGTGTTATTGGGCATCCTGGCAGCAGAGAGCTACAGGAATCTTTATTAGCTGTGTGGCAGCACTGGACATGTGAGATGGATGTGGAGCTTGCCTGGAAGGGGGAAGGAGGAGATGGAAACAGAAAACGAGCATGATTTTTGAACACTTAAATTCTTAAACAGAAATATTGTCTAAAAAGTTTAAATTTACTTTCACTTTATTACTTCTCTTCATAATTCTTCCACCATATCTTGTGGTACTATGCTGCTTATCTGTAAATTCATCACAAATGGTTTTGATTTTGAGAAATCAAGTTTGGAAAGAAGGAATATTAAAAAAAACCCTCTAAGAACTAGATGATAAACCCCCTCTTGCACCTGGTTTCTATTCAGCTGCTAGGTGTGTAGCAGGGGTGGGCAGCCAGTGACCACATGTGCGTTGCTGCTGCTGCTGTTTACACAGCTTCCAAGCTCCCCTGGAAAGCAAAGCTGAAAGGTCAATGAAAGGACCTGAAGTCAAGGAAGAGTGAAAAAAGAGGGGCTTCAGTCTAGGGGAACAAAGTTGCCTCTGCAGGTCAAAGCCAGCAGTGGAGACATCTGGCCAAGAGCAAGACGGGAAACAAGGGCACAGGGAACAGGATGCCAAGGACTGAAAAAAGGCAGAAAAACAAAATATAAGGCAGTTGGAAAGCAGAACTGGCAATAAAACTATTAAGTTTGTATCAAAGCATTCAGCTTTTATGGAAAAACATAAATTTGGTATAGAGCACGCTGCAAGGTTGCAATACGTTGCACATGGAAAGTAAAAACAGTGGTTGAAAAGTTTGCTGCGATTCCCTGTAAACTGCTGCTGAAAATGCATTAGGGATGCTACAAGGCTCAGAGGAGCAGGGAAATTAAAATTCCCTAACTACAGGGCTATCCACCACTGTTTTAGCTGAGGATATCAGGTGGTTGGGGTGTTAACAGATGGAAAAGATATTATTACTTATTTAAAATACTTTCAGGAGGCTCACGGAAACTCTTCTCCAGCCCTTTGTAGAGTGTTATCTGATAAAGATTCAGGAGAAACTACAAGTGTGGATTAATCTTATATTGGCATCATACCTTGTCAGGAGGAGCAGGGGAGTGCTGGATTCCTTGAAAGGACTCCCCTGATAGTCTGGCTACTTTCTCCATTATTTTTTGCTTGCTTCTTCCGTGATCACCTCAATGTCCCAGAAGGCATACCAGGTGCACTACTGCATGCAACTGGTTTTACACAAGCAGTTGTCAGAATTCCTCTGACCCTTGCTCTGGCATATACTGGTGAACAGACCCACCCACCGGCAGAATGGGTTTTGCATCATCCTCAAAGTGTCGGGACTGAAACCAGGCTGCAGCTCCAGGAACACTGCCGAGCAGGCAAAACAGGCGCACCGCTGGAAGACTTGCGGGAGAGGAAAAAAGAGAAAGAACAAAACTCTCTTAGATGCTCAGGTGGGAATTCTGTGCTGGGGATTTCTATGCTGAGGTGTCGCCCCTGCCTTCCCGCTCCGGCAACCGACCCAGAGAGCGGGAACGGGCTCGGCACCAGCTGCTTCCTTCGCGACAGCCCGGCCCCGAGGGCGAGGCCCGCATCCCGGCCCTCAGGGCGAGGCCCGCATCCCGGCCCTCAGGGCGAGGCCCGCATCCCGTGCCCCGTTGCTCCACAACCGCACTGCTTGGGCTGGACTGCCGGGCCGCCCAGACTTGGACAGAGGGACGCGCTGCTCCTTTCGCCCCTTCCTTAAACACCAGCAGCCGAAGCCGTCCTCTCCCCCCGGCCCTCCAAAGAGGAGCGGCTTGGCTGGGGAGGTCGCCCCGCTCTGCGCACTCCGTGGGCGACGCCAACTTCTGGGGGAACTCACGGAGAACCCGCCCTTGGTGCCTCCCCAGCGCTCCCGGGTGCTGTGGGGAGCGAGGGGGCAGATGTGCGGGGGCAGTGCGTGCTGTCTCCGTGCCCCGGGATACCGCCGTGCCCCGAGCCGAGCTGTCCCCGCGCCGCGGGCTCCCTCCGTTTCCCGGGACACCTCGGTGCCGGGGCTGTCTCCGTTTCCCGGGATACCTCGGTGCCGGGGCTGTCTCCCTTTCCCGGGATACCTGGGTGCCGGGGCTGTCTCCGCCCCGGAAGGCGGCTGCGCCAATCGGCGGGGCTGTTGCTGGGCGCTGCGGGTGACATTGGGCACGGCCATGGTGGTGGCGGCACTGGGCCGGGCGGCGGGGCGGCTGCTGCGGGCTGGGGCCGCCGTGCCCGGGCGGCGGCGGTGAGCGGGGCGGGCCGGGGCCGGGGCCGGGGCCGGGGCCGGGGCCGGGGCCGGGGCCGGGGCCGGGGCCGGGGCCGGGGCCGGCGGGGGCCGGCAGGGGCCGGGGCCGGCAGAGCCCGGAGTGAAGCGGGGCCGTGCTGTGTTGCAGCGCTAGCGGCGGGGTGCACATCCCGCCGCGGTACCGGCAATTCCCGGAGCTGACGCGGGCGCAGGTGATTCGAGGAGAGGTGCTCAGCGGCATCATGTGGTTCTGGATCCTCTGGCACTTCTGGCACAACTCGGACATGGTGCTGGTGAGGCCGGCGCGGTGGCCGGGGGCGGGGGGCGTGGGCCGGGCCCCGGCCGCGCTCTGACAGGCCTCTCTCCCAGGGACACTTCCCGTATCCCGACGCTTCGGCCTGGACGGACGAGGAGCTCGGCATCCCTCCGGACGATGAGGAATAGCAGCACACCGGTACGGCTCCCGTGGCCCCTCCTCACACGGGCCCGGCTCGGGTGCAGCCCCGGGCTCCGTGCCCGGCTCTGCCGCTGCGGGGCCCTGCTCTCAGCATTGTGCATTGCCCAGGGGGAACTTGCCCAGCCTCTGTGGTACAGGAGGCAGCGTCCGCACTGCTTATTGCCTTCATACACGTGTCTCGGGTGCCTGAGACCAGGTAGCCCTGGTTTTAGCAATATTAGCCTGCACTGTAACAACTGACTTGGTTATGAGTTGAAGCTTACCTCGTACCAGTTCTAAATTATTTTCTTCATGGTGGTCTGTAGACCCAGCATTATCTAACTTCAAAGACACTGTTTCTAGAGAGATCTGTCCACATGTCCCCCTTAAACATCTGAGGCTTTTGCTTGTTTCCAGTTCTTTAATTACCAAGTCTTTTTTAAGCTGTTGAGTCACACATTACAGCTTGAAACCAAAAGCTTCTACTACTGCTGAAGGTAGCATTGAGGAGGTCCTTCTGCTCTGCCTGGTGGGAAAAGGAGGAGTGAAAAGGTTCTCAGGTTTTTCTTCTGTTACTTTCAGGTTCCTGGAACTAAATGAGGCCCCTAGAACCAAATCTTTGTCTCCTGGGTCCTTATGTCAATAAAACTGTAAACAAAGTTGAAGCTGAACTGTATTTTTTTGTATTTTAAGTAGAATTTTTGGAAAATGACCGTGACAGCTTTAAAGCTGCAGTACTTGAGTACACATGAGCTTCTGTAATGCTTGCTTGATAGACAATGTGTTTGCCCCAAGAAATAAGGTCCATGAGTGCATGGCAGGTAACAGGCTTATCAGTAAAGGCTCTGCCAAATAACCAATGAGGAGGTGAGGGGTAATTGCCACAGAAGCAGGAGAATTTACTCAGAAGAGAACCCAGACCAGTTGGTCCAGGCTTTTCTCAGGATGAAGGAGAATGCCCCTTGGGTATATAAAAGTTCAGAATAATCAAGGTAAAAATGCCTTAGGGCTCAGCACAGCAGTCAAGGAGGCAGTGATCCAGCTTAAGGAAAATGAAGGGAGTGGGGTCTGCAGAAGTCCCTTGATTTTATTTTTTTTCCTTCTCTTTCCCTTCTAGAGTTATACCCTAAAGTAACTTTTTCACTCCCTTTAACCACCTGAGTTGCACCCCTCCAGCTTCATGGAGTCGTGCATGACACAATCAACAATCTCCTTGAGACTTTTCCATGCAGTCAATCTTTATTATAGCAGTATTCTCATATTCACATCAAGTACATAGAACTTTTTGCCTTTCATATAATACAGAGTTCTTTAAATAACTTTACACTGAAATAGTTTTCTTCAATCTGAATTCAGCTATCAAATTTTAATATGTTTTAAGTCTCCATGCTCTCTAACCAAACTGGACAATATTTCCCATTGTACAAATTTACATGAGAAAAACTCCAAAGTACAAATGAAGGGACAACAAAAGTAAAGGGAGAAGGAACAAACAAGAAAAATAAGTTGTATTGGCAATTACAAGGGAGACTTGAGAAGGAACGAAGGGGAGTTGCCATGACCTACATAATAGGAAACCAAAAATAAACATTTTGTTATGAATTAAAAAATAAATACAAGTTTCAAAACAATTACTCCATTGTAGATTTTAAAAAGCAGCTATGGAAATCTAATAACACAATGGGTATTTTTTTTTTTTAAGTAACCAGACTGGACCTTCTACTTTGCAGTCATAAGCCCCTTGCAAACATCTGTTGGTCAAAAAAAAAAAAAAAAGAATACAGCTGAAAGGAATGTGTTAGCACAGAGTTTAAAGTGGTGGGACATACATTTCATTGCACTAAGGAACAAACAAACAAACAGATGAAATCAAATCTGTATATAAATTTCCCTTTCCTCTCCTTACTACGTACTTTGCCTCTCATAAACAAGCCTCTGTATTATGAGGTAATGCCATTGTCTTGACTATATATAAAAATAATAAAGTTTAAAGGATACAGATCCAGGTATCTATAAACTTTAAACAAGCCAGTCCTATCTTACTCTCCCAGAGGGTCCAACCAGTGAGTGCTACCCCTTCTGTCACTGCTCAATGCATCGTGCTCTCCCAGGAAGCCCAGGACATTTGTGCCCCTTTCCTAATCCAGGAAAAGCAGCCTGTGCTCAAGTAAGAAAGAGAGACAGTGCCAGTAATGCACAAGTTACACACACCTACACCTGCTCCTGCAAAACAAGGCAGAGTCACAGAAGGCAACAGTGGCCAGCCTGCACTGTGTTGGGGCAGGGAAAGAGGGATCCGGTTAGGCAGCTGGTGGCTGATTCCTTTTGCAATTGCTCAAGAATAATGTCACTGCCCAGCCCGGGGAGACCCTTCACTACCCCTGGGGTGAGGTGGGGAGGAGGGGTACACCTGGAGAATGGAGGGCCAGGAGGAGCTCTGCACTTGCAGTCACGATGACCACAGAGCAGATGGGCTGGCTCATGCATCCCAGGTGGTGGCAGACCCTGCTCTAGAGGCACAGGGCAGTACTGGATCCCAAAAAGATTTCAAGAGTGGAAAAGAAGTATGGGGCAGGACTTTCTCCAATCCCAACAATGAGATCAGAACAGCAATGTTAATTTGGGTTGCCAACACATGCAAGTTGGCCACTGTCAGGTCTTGTCAGTTGAGAAGTGTGGAGAAGGGGAGGAAGGGGAGGCAGGTAGGACACAAGGCTCATGAAAGAAGGATGTGCTTTTTTTTTTTTGGTTGATTTTTTTCTGTTTTTTTCTGTTTTTTTTTCCTAAAGGTTCACAGCTTTGAATAAAAAAGCACATTTATTGCACTTACACTTTATTTTAGACAGAGTTAATTTATGCCCTCACAACCCCCCACCATCCCCAAATAACTCAACACCTAAGTTTGGTCCATTTTTCCCTAGATCCAACATCCATGCCCATATGATGGGCTTAATTTCTTCCTAATGTTCCACTGAACTCCCAAACACACAGATGGATTTTCTCTTCAATAAGGGTTAATACACAAATGCAACACAGGATGACATTTATCAAAACAAAACCTTACCAGTTTCCAAACCCAAATAAACAAGAAAAAAAGAAAACATAGTTATTTTTGTGGTTTACTTGCTCAAAAGTAAACGTCACACAAGGCTTATTCTAAAGTACAGCTGCTGCAAACATGACAAACTAGACAAAATGACCAGACAGGTCACTGTTGGCTCTTGAGGAGGCTGGGTGAGCTGAACACATTGCTGCTGGATGCTATGAAGCAAATACTAGGTAGTTTAGAAGTTCCTAAACAAAACAAAACAAACAAAAACCCAACAAAAAACACTTCCCACCCCCCCCCCCCCAAAAAAAAAAAAAGAAAAAGACAAAATAACCATCACATGTACTTTTAGTGCAGAATTTGGGGTAGGTAGAAGGATTCCAGATAGTTCCTGGAACATAAAAAAAACATTTTTACATGTTGTTTTCTAAAAGGAACAAACCCAAATTAAAATTGGTCTGATATTTCTTATGAACTGTGTATTTAGACATAACTTCATAGGTAACAATTATGACAAAATCCTGCCCCAAGGAACAAAAGGAAAAGATCTGAAAAAGCACTAACATCCAAACCTATTATTTTGTCCTTCATGGACAAATATGACACTGATATGTAGGTACTGCCAGAAGTCTATGTAACCAGTCTGAAATTTGAACAAATCAAATTCACACCTGCTGGTTGTCCCTCAGCTGACAAGGCACCTACC